CTGTAAATATTATTGCTAACACCTCTTTTTTGATCCAGTTCTACTCTTTTTCTACCGGTAGTAGCAAACACAAAGCATGTACAACGACTTTCATGTTACTGTCCTCATATTTATATAGAATTAGCACTCATATACCATAGTCACTAGCACCTGAAGCCAATACAATTTCTGCTTTTGGATTGTAGTGTGCTAATGATAAGTCTGATGTTAGTATTTTCTTGATTTCTTCAAACCCCTTCTGACACTTATCAGTCCAGTTCCACTTCATGTCTTTTTTAAACAAATTGTTCAGTGGAGCTCCCAATTTTTCCTATTAGTTATATAGATTTGATAATAGTTTGCTAGTCCTAGAAATGCTTGTAACCTAGTAACATTTGTTGGAGGAGGCATATTCTTAATTGCATTTGCCGGATCTGGTTGACGACCATTTTTGTCAATGATTTGTCCTAGGTAGTTGATTTTAGGCAAAAACTATTCACACTTTTCCTCACTGAGTTTGAACTCGAATTCTTGAATTTTGCAAAAAATCTTTTCACAAGCTCGATATGTTGTTTCTTAGATACACTTTTATTTAATATATCATCCAGATAAGCAACTGCAAAATCACAAATTTCAAACATAGTATCCATAGCTTGTTGAAACATAGCTGGAACCACTTTTATTCCCAAAAGGCATTCAGTTGAACTTATAAAATCCCTTGTGCTTATTTATAGTTATTAACTGAACATTCTTCTTCAACCTGTATTTGCAAATACACTTCAGAAAGATCCAGCTTCAAAAAAATTTTTTTTCACAATTTAAATTTGCAAAAATTGACTCTGGACTTGGTAATGGGTAGTTATGGCATTCTAAATGTATGCACATTTTTTTTATTCAATTTTTTCAATATCACACCTCAGATTCATCTGATATTTCTTGTAGTGTTAGTTTTTTTTTTTATTCTGTTCAAGTTTCATTAGAATTTTAGCACATATTTGTCTTTTTTTGTCATTAACCCTGAACAAAAATTAACCCTTTAAACATTTCCAGAATCAGTTGATTTAATTTGAATCTTTCACACTCATTGTTAATGATTCCAGCATATGTGACAAAATTGTTGTCTTCTTTATTCATCAGATTCATACACTTCCAACAAGTATTGAATAACAAACTTTTCACACTAAAAATTTTAGTCAGAATATTTACTATTTTTTTAAAGCAAATTTTTCCTGTTTGTTGTTTTTAGTACAAAATTACAGTATTTTTATGTTCTATCAGTGCTAACTTTTTCGACAAAAGTTTTGCTATTTTCTCATCTTTCCAGTCATTGCATTCTTCTCTGAAAATTTGCTTGCATCTTCTAAAATAAGCATAAAATTCATCTGAATTGTATGTTAATTCAGCTATGGCATTTCACATCAGGAATGAAAGAACTGGGCAAATTTTCCATTTTCTTTCATATTATTTCAATTAAATTTTTTTTTGTTTCTGGTGTTTCAACAATTGCTGTTGTTACTGTATTTTTAACACTTGGGCTAATAATTCTTCCATACTTAAAGAATATCTGGAGTTCTTTTTTACTTCTTTCTCATTTTTTCTCTCTTTTTACACAAACCAATTCTAATTTCTCATTGTCACTTATCATGTGTGCTGAAGTAAAAAGTACTTTTTGTACTCTATATGAGATTTGATCCCTCATCACCACTGCTCCTAGTGGTTATAATATGTCTCACTTAGGCTACTCGACGTGACATCACTAGAAATTCTCCTTGACTGACTACAACAGACTTCTCTTGACTCTCTTTGAGTTCTTTATTTAAAGAACCTTGCCTAGTTCATGTGTTACTGGAGGTGTCTTATTTACTCCACAATAATCATCAATCAATATTTTTAAATAAATCATCTATGAGAGTGCACCAATAAATCTATAGCTCAATACATTTATAAACTGAATTTTGATCTGAAATTTTCCTTGTATAAAGTTTGATCAATAGAGGAGAATTGCATTAAGTGTATTACCAATTAAAGAAAAATGAAAAATAAACATTTGTGTAAAATAAAAACATTTTTCATTATTAGACTACAAAATTATTAAGGTACCTATGAGTATATTATCATTTCCAGGTAAAATCTTTGACTTAGTATAAACATTTTTCTTAATAATGCATGAATAATTCATTACAATCACTGAATTTTACCATATTTTTAAACAAAATAAGATACCAAAATTTTATTATCAACTAATCTCAATATACCTGTCTAAACTTGTCAATAGAAATGAAGAAATATATTAAGAGGAATCAAGACTGAATAGAGGCTGCATTTGCATGGATCTGACATTTCTACATTGTGATAGAAAACCAATAAGGCTGGATGGTATTGAGAGGTGATGCTGGGGTGCCCTAGGTCACCATCTGATGATGGTTTTATTGCAACCACTATTACAGCTTTTCAATAAGTAATTGTATTTATTTCAATTATGCTGTTTATACTAAAATTCATTTTCAGATCAAATATTATAAAATCTCAAAACTTTCACAACTCAAATTACTGACTCTCCAAATGTCTGTGATTCAATCTACATAATATGCCTTGTGTATATTCATATTTTTCTTTGTAACAACCACAGGCAAAGTGCACATGTACTTGAGAACATACCAAAACTTCTAGTGTCAGTTGTTCTTGATTTATAGAACTTTGCAAATAAAGTCATAATCAAATTTTAATAACAATCACCTAAAAATGCATCATAACATTGTTTCAAAATAAAACAGAAACTAACCATTCAATTAATTTTTAAAAAAATCAATGTTAATATTTGTTCACATGTCATCTTCCATGTTGCATTTCTGGCTTCAAAAACATTTTGTTGTAATTTGTATTTCATCCAATTTTACAGAATAGCAAAAAGGAAAAGAACTTCACTATCCCACAAATAATTTGATAGTGTTACTATAGGTAGGTCTCAGTATACCCAACACTGCAAAGTATTGCTCATCCTATAAAATTATCAAAATAGATGGTCATGTGACTGTTTCTTCTTTAGAATTTACGGGTATAATCTGGGGGTTGCAGCTTCCTCTGTACCAAATCCAATATTAAATATGTTACAATGCGCATTTTTCAATGGAAAAATCATAATCTTTTGTGTCCAAGTTAAAATCTTTTCTGTCTAAGTTAAAATATTTTATCCATTATCTTCTATTGTTAAAGCTTAAATTGTAAATACCCAGATTTTGCTAAACTATTAAATGTGGTAGAAATTTCCATCATCCACAGTTGAACAATAGCCTGCAATGATGGAAATATATTTCTATCATTTAGAGTTTATGGTTTAATGAGATGATAAATTCTTGTTTTAAAAAAAAAATGTTCATTAATGCCCAGGAGGTATCAAAAGAGATTATTTTTCTCACTCGGTCATATCAAAAACAAACTTTGATGATCTCAATATAGAACTACTTATAAATGAATTGTTAATCCAGAATTAATATTGGCTTAACAATTTATACAATCATATAGATTCTAAGAAAATCCAATGGCAACCTATACGAATGATGAGATGTAAAAACTGAAGCTGAATCTTTCTACAGAATAAAATTGATGACCTTAGTAGATGAAGTGTAGTCATTTGGAAATAGATGATGACAGAAAATCTAAATTGTGCTCACCTTCACTATTATTCGAACTATTGTCCTCATCTTTGTTGCCATATTTATCACATGTCGGCTGTTGTATGCTCCAGCCCTCTTCAGGTGGTTGGAATGTCAAACTGAAACATTATTTCGCTCACTGGTGTAAACTGTTCTAGTTCCACATGCCATGTCTAATGGATGTCAGTTATCAGTTATCTCCTGTTAATTCCCCTCTCTAAGTTCTCCACTGATATTGAACTCACACTCTTTGGGTCCTGTCACTGAATCTAACTGTGCCATGTATCCTTGAGGACATCTGTGTGTGAATTTCTGGGTATTATAAACCTAATGTCTTTAGCAACCATTTCTTTTTACCAGTGCTCATATTGCAATTTTTACTGTTATCATCTCATGTTTTTTACCAGAGCTCATATTGCAATTTTCCTTGTTATTATAGCTTTTCTCTGGTACTCCTTATTACTGGTTTCCATATTGTATTCATTTCTATGCTTGGTCGGCTCAGGAGATTTTTGTGGCCTAGCATATGTGCTGATTTCTTAAGTTTACAAATTTTCCAATAATGTTCTTTGTCTATGATTTCAACCTGATCCCACAGTGAATGGTGATCTCCCTTCTCTCTCCATATGTGGTCAGCCACGCCTGATTTTTCCACTTCCCCTCGTGTTACAGCTTTCTGGTGTTCTTGAAGCCTGTTCTTAAGGGGGCAGCCTGTCTCCCCTTTACATTTCTTTCCACAGCTGCACGGGATGGCTTACACATAATTTTTAGTCATGTTCTCCTCTATTGGTGGTGGTGGGGGGAGTGTCTTATTCGGGAGAGATATCTGCGAAGTGTCGTTCAGCTTTTAAAGGTTGTCCTGATGTTATATGGACCGCAGATCCTTTGTATTTTCTCTGATAACCCCTTCACATAAGGCAGGCAGACTGTTTTCTGAGTGTTGTTATCCTCCTCTTGTACCCGCCTATCCCAGTTTATTGGGGCTGCTGCCATGTACCCAGGGTAGTTGTTATGTTGTAGGGTACTACTTATACTGACCAATACTTTATCTAATGTCTGGGTCGCCACATGACTTTTGCTTGGTGTTTTTAAGCAGCAGACGATCCCTTTCTTTATGCTGTATGGATGGTAAGAGTTGAAATTGAGATACTGTCTGGTGAATGTCAGTTTGCGTCATACGAATGTCCTGAACCCATGCTCTGTTCGAGATATTAGAACATCTAAGAATGAGAGTGTGTTGTTACTCTCTTTCTCCATCATGAACTGATCATCGTTGTGATAAATATGACAACAAAGATGAGGACAATAGTACGAATAATGTAAATAGTGTACATAATACTGCATCTCAGAAATAGATACTGTGCTCACCTTGACAGCAAAATCACACCCATTATGGCTCCGTGCAATCAGAGCAATCCAAAGGGTCCGATTGTCAACTTGGGGGGGAGGTTCTACTTTTGCACATGCATCATGAGGAACTACATAATGCAACCGTCCCTGCAAAAATAATAAGAGTAAGAAGAAGATTAATAATTACAATCCTTTTTTTTATGTAGACGTCTACACTATTCACAAATAAACATAAGACAGCCTCTACAATATTAGGAATTTTTAGGTTAAGCAATATTAAAAAGCAAGGGTATAAGCATATGTATTTTTAAAATATACCAAAAAAACATTTTTTATTTCAATTTATCTTTAAAAAGAAGAAATGTGACAATAATGATTTTTAAAAGAAATTTAAATTGCAGAAAGCATATATTTTTCTAAGTTTAAACAAAAGAAATTTTAGTAATAATAAATTTACAATACAATTGGTTTTAACCATCTCTTGAATTAGTCGTATTTTATTAAATTCCCATAATAAATTAATAGTTACTGACAAAACAAAGATAAAAATATCAGCAGTACTCCACATCTGCTTGATGAGCAAATATGACATTTAGTAAATATTAACTGCCAGGAATTATAACAAATCTTTTACAAGTTTAGCAAATATATAAGAAAAGAGTTAACACTTGAAAATAATTTTAAACATTTATAACATTTTCACCCTTGCCATTGTGAGAATGTGATTATATTATGTTTAAATTTTAAGTAAAGACATATATATATATATATATATATATAAAAATCTGAATTATTTATTTAATCTTTGTTTTTATAGTCAGAACATTCAGGACCCCTACCACTGAGAAGAATAAAATGTAAAACTTGAATGCTACCATGAAAAGCAAACAATATATACCATGGGACAAATGCAGGCAAGACTAATTCTAACAAAACTAGCCAATAGGTCTTTATAGGAAAAGGAAAAGATTTTCTTTTTTAAAAGTTAAAAAAATAGAACATATAGACATCTGAAGCAATTACTACAATTAGAAAGATTTTGACTTTATGTAGAATGAAAAAAAGTATTGCAGAGAAAAAAGAAATTGATGATGGAAATGATAGAAAATGCATGGCTTATCCTTACTTAAAAGTCAGGGGAAAATTGTAAGACATGCAAGTAATTCTCACATAAATAATTCTCATGATTAGATCTGCTATTAGCAGTAAAAAGGAAACAAATATTTTACAAGTGAAATGAACCAAATGCTTATGTGAAATACTTAGTTCAATTCATGCACCAGCATTTGTTTATATAATAGAAAACTATTTTTTAGCAAACAGAATAGCTTTTAGTTTTATTTGTTTTTCTCTTTAAATAAAAATACATCAAAACTTTAACATGCACTCTTCAAGTTAATGATAAACAAAGAAAATTTTAACAAAAGTCCTTTTTGCTTCTTACAATCCTGAAAACAAAAAGAAAAGTGATAAATTCTTATCAGTTGTCAGATACTGTTTAAAGTAGACAAAATGTCAAGTACTTTAAAATATTACTTTCCTACCATCATGCAGATTACATTTTTTCAGGGCCCAAAGATAAAAATAACTATAGTTGGAAATTGTTTCACCAATAACATTTAGCTCATTGTAAGATATTTCATATATTCACTTATCTCATTTGTTGTTGACAAAACCTCACTAGTATGGATAATCTGTAAGCAAGAAATAATGTTTTGCCAATGTACAAGGGTAGGTGAAACCTGGATACTCATATATGACACCAGTACACAAGTAAGAATTTAAAAATGCCCAATTCTTTTTCTTTTTTAAGTATATTGGGGGTTTTTTTTAACTGTATTGAATTTTTTTTATTGATAATAATAAAGATACTAAGACTTTTCTCCTTTCAATTTAAAGTTTACTTAATCTATACAGTTCACATTCAGAGCAACATTCTGTGTCTCTCTTTAATGGTATCTGCAAGTGAATTGCTTTACAAATAAAATATATATAAAATATGACATATAAACCAATGTAAACAAATCTAAAATATGTCTCATTCATGCAATATCAAATAACGGTTATCTGTAATTTTTATGGTTGTTGAGAGAACATTTATTTCAGTCTGTCATCATTTTCTTAACATTGACAAATGCATAAAGAACTAAATTGATCTTCTGTTGCTTATAACAAAATCAACAAACTGAATAGAAACAGTTTTTATTCTTCACAAATTAAAGTTTTGAAGATTACTTCAGAACACAAAGCAGAACAAAATATTTAATCTTATACGTGCAGGTTACAACATATACATCACTTAGTTGACAAAATTGAATTATTGTTTTGCTAAATGCCAATAGATAACTACTTCACATGTAAAAAGCTTCTAATTAAATATAACACTATAAATGGATACAAGTTATTGGATAACGAAAATGACATGTGCTCCACACAGTGACAAGTAGAATAATCTTTCAAGGTTACTGGTGACAATTGATTATTTGCAAACTTTTACTTTAAATACAAGAAAACACAGGACAATAACAACAACAAATAAAAAGGTTGAATGTGTTGTTTTTTTTAAAAAAAAACAGGAGTCAGAAACTATTTACACCTATATAAATAAGGTGAAAGTCTGTCTTAACAGTCATAAAATATCGTAAGGAATTTCTTTTGCTAAGGCATTCATATAAAATATTGTGGATTACATAAAGAATAATGTCAAAAACAAAATATTCTTATAAAAATAAGTTTTCAAAGATTTTGGTAGTATGTTCAAGAAAGTAAACAAAAGAAAAAAGACAAAAACAATAGAAAATATACCTGATTTTAAATTAACTATTAAGAAACTTAAATAAAAAATACCCCGCCCCACAAAAAATCAGCTGAATATTTTTTCTCTTTTCCAACTTCTAAGAATATCAATAGTGTCATTTCTCTTTAATTTTATATATCCTTAATTCTTCTGAATTCCTGAGGTAAGGAATTATCAATATATATCAATTTCTTCACCTAAATATTGACATAAAAAATTGTAAATTATGCACTGAAGAAAAAAAACCTGCCTATAGCATAAAGATATGTTTCTATCATGTTTAGAGACTCCACATTTATGCATAGGAACATCCATAATCTCTCAAACTAATGTTGAAAAAAAATGGTTTATTTTTTAACATAGTTCATAGATCAAGCAATTTATAATTAAAATTTCAATTAAAAATGCTGCTAATAAGCACATGTCAGGACAGTAATATATCCTATTTTATCATGCTGGCTTACAACACCAGAGGTAGTATGGCAGCAGAGATTAAATCTTCCTGCTAATAACCCATTTTTTTTTGTCTTCTTACAAGTAGTTGAGCAGCAGTCTGGAAAAATGTTGTCTGGTATGAAAGTGCATATGAAGCAGAGTTATGTGACTGTATTATATCATGCTGAAAAAAATTCCACCCACAGACATTCACTGATATTTTCAAAATGTTTTTGGAAAACAAACAGTGGATTTGAGCACAGTTAAGCAGTGGGTAATGTGTTTCAGCAGTAGCAACATTGATGCATACAACAAGCCACATTCCTGGTGGCTTTGCACAGTTGTTGATCCAAAAATAAAGAGCATCTCAATCAGCTTGTCCATATGAATCGACAGATTATGACAAGGGAATTGTGTATGGAATTAAATATTAGCTTCAGTGTATTGGAAAATTTGTTGGCAATATTTAGGTATCACAAAGTTTGTCAGGTGAATCCCATAGATGTGCAAACAAATACAGAAAGATCACGGAATATAAATCAGTCAAGATCTGTTGAACCATTATGAGGCTAAAGGTGAAAGCTTCCGGAATTGTATTATCACCAGTCAAAATCAAAGCAACAGTGCATTGAGTAGCAATATGCAAATTTCCCTTTGAAGAAAACATTCAAGATGGAGCCATCAGCAGGCAAAATGATATACACTTACTTTGAAGAACAGGAACAACTTGATCTCACCGCATTTCCTAGAACCCAAATAATCAACTGTTATATTATGACACTGACTAAGCTGAAGGCTTGGATTTCCAGATTAAGGCCAGATAAAAAGACAATCTTTTACTTGCAACACAATAATGCCAGGCTCCTCAACAGTTTGAATCATGTTACAAATTTTGGTTGGACTGTCCTACCATACCTATTAAAGAGTTTGAATTTGGCACTTTCTGATTTTCAACTGTTTGAACTGATGATAGACGACAAAGACAATATTTTCTTGACAATGATACTGTCATTGCTTCTGTGAATAACTGGGTCTCCTCTGCTGGTGCTCATAGCTGGCAATAAGGTGCTGTTAATGGTGCTGACTATCTGAAAAAATAGTGTTTTGTAGCTGAAAATTAACTATATAATGGTGTCATTGTGTTCACTGTATCTGTTGTAGTTACCAAGGAAATAAATAGGATACATTACTTTCAGAATATTCCTCATACTTTATATTAAAATCTATTAAATCCACTTAACTTGAACGTATATACATGCATCTATACATATTGGACCAACACTGCATATATTTACATTTTCTTTAGATGCTATCTGTAAAATTCTACCAATCTGACAGCTTTATACAATCTGCTAGATTTATGAGATACCATGGAAATTTGAAAGACCTTTACTTTTGCTTTACATTGTTCTTTAATAGAAAGTTCAATAATATTTAGAAAAGAAGATTACTTTTAATCTGTATTTAAAATATATAGCATTAACAATACATAGCAAAATAATACTAGACTACCTAACAAGTCAGTTATTCAAAACTGGGCAAAGTGACATTTGGCATGCAATGCTGAAAATGAGGAGAATTGAAAGGAGAAATTTGCTTCCTTGGTTTGATTTTCTTCCCATTATTGAAGAAACGATAAGTTGGTTATATGCCAAAAAAAGACAGAACCAACAATTGATGAAAATTGAACATTTCCTTTAAGTAAGAAAAGAAAATGAATAAAAGTTATAAACAACTTTCGAAAAAAAGAAGAAAGACTATCTACTGCAATGTACTCAGAACTTTAGATATTTTTTATCATCTCTTATATTTTTAAATTGATTATCTCAGTCAATGATTATATAACACCTGACCATGAAGAACAATTCAAAAAGGTATGGCCATACACGTCAATATAGGAGCCAGCTACATAAAT